GCAGGTCTTCTTCAACCTCTTCAAGATGATGCTTATCTCCAACATGGACGATTCCTCCTTGCAGCCCTCGGGGCTCGCAGCGTTCCTCTTCCGAGGCCTGGCGTCAGGAGACTTGCAGAGGCTTATACCTTAGGGCTTACAGGGTTTAGGGTGTAGGGTTTATAGGGCTTACAGGGTTTAGGGTCTAGGGTTTATAGGGCTTGACAGGGTTTCGGGCTTACAGGGATTAGGGTATAGGTTTTTTAGGGCTTACAGGGTTTAGGGTACAGGTTTTAGGGCTTACAGGGTTTAGGGTTTAGGGCTTATAGGGCTTACAGGGTTTAGGGTTTAGGGCTTACAGCTTTGGGGTATAGGTTTTAGGCTTGACAGGGTTTAGGGTTTAGGGCTTACAGGGATTAGGGTATAGGTTTTAGGGCTTACAGGGGTTTGGGGTATAGGTTTTAGGTTTAGGGCTTACAGCGTTTAGGGTTTAGGGCTTACAGGGATTAGGGTATAGGTTTTAGGGCTTACAGGGTTTAAGGTATAGGTTTAGGGCTTACAGGGTTTAGGGTTTAGGGCTTACAGGGTTTACAGGGTTTAGGGTATAGGGTTTAGGGTTTACAGGGTTTGCAGGGTTTACAGGGTTTACAGGGTTTACAGGGTTCAGGGTTTAGGGTTTAGAGTTTACAGGGTTTAGGGTTTACAGGTCTCCAAGTGGCCCGTTTTTCCATGCTTTAGGTTCCTTCCAACACCAAAATGGAAGCCCCTGTTACTCCTGGTACGGATCCCGTAGAGACGGCTTAGTTTACAGAGAGTCTGTAATCACGGGTACCATGATGGCAAGGCCTGGGCCGGCTAGGGTGTTAGGATTTGGGGGTTTTGGGATTTTCCACCGGGGCTCTCTGTTATCTTTGTTCGGGGGCTTCTGCGAAATGAGCACGTCACAGTTTACCCGTTGAGCTGATGACGATGACGATGACAGTGATGCTGGTGATAGCGATGACGATGATGGTGTCCGGAACTTTGGGAGAAGTCTGAACGAGAGCTGTCTTTTTGACGCCACCCAGCGATTGCAACCAACGTGCTAAAGTTCTGCTATTCGAGTGGTCGGAACAATTCGTTGAATAATATCCCTTGGTTGGCCCTTCCATGATTGTAGAATAGTCTACCCCCAAGCCCAGTCTACTTCTTCTGAAAGTAATCTTTACAGACCCCTTTGTTTATCAAGAGCCGTTGCAACTATTCAGCCCTAAACCCTAACCCTAAACCCTAAACCCTAAACCCTAAACCCCTCCCCGATTATCATCAGCTGTGCTTAAGCTCTCTTTGCAGGTGTGGTCCTCGGTCCTCTGCTTGGTGCGCTCGCAGGCGTCGAAGGGCTTACTGTAGATCCTATCTGGTTTAGGGTTAGGGGTTTAGGGTTTAGGGTTTATAGGGTTCAGGGCAGTATTTCTAGCGGACTATAGAGGTGAAAGGGTCACACTTAAAGCTTTTGCTTTCTCCGGGGGTGCTTGTTGCACCTGAATGACTGAAGGGTGATTTGGAAATGGAGCAGTGGAGGTGGCACCTGCCGGAAAGGAGACCGGAATGCACCGTCACCTGTGTCTAATTGATGCAATCACGCACACCGAAGCCCTATTTTCGGAGGACTTGATGCCCAAACACTTGAGCCTCAACCTTATAACACCCCCAAGCGAGACTCCCAGAAAACAGGAACAGCAGGGCTATAGGCGTAGCCGCTGAAAGCTTCGGATGTTTAGGAGTTCGGGTTCAATTAGAAGCCCATTTGCGTTCATGGTCGGTTGATGGTCCTTCAAGCCTACGCACAAATCGAGTCTCCAACGCCTAGTAATCTGTTCAGCTTAACGTGCTATACCCATAGGCCCCATAGTAGTTCCGTTTGGGGATTACCTAATAGGATCCTAAATATAAGCCACAAAAAGGAACTACTATGGGGCCTATGGGTACAGCTATCTTGGCTCCTACGCTTTCTGAGGGATGTGGCTTTTTCACACCCCCAAGGTCCAATGCTGAACCCGACCCTCACACAGTAAAAGCCCTAAACCTTCAACCCGAACCTCAAACAGTAAGCCCTAAACCCTGACCTCAAACAGTACAAACCCTGAACCCTACAACCCTAAACCTATAACCGCAAACAGTAAACCCCTAAACCCCTAAACCCTGAACCCTAGCCGCAAACAGTAAACCCCTCAAGCCCTACAACCCTAGAACCATCAACCTAAAGGTCCAAGACCCTTACGTCCTATACCCCTAACCCTAAACCCTATATACCTATAACCCTAATATAGGAGCCCAAATAATTACCAATACTATTTTGGGGGGTTCCTTATTATTTTTAAGGCCCCTATATAAGCCTATAACCCTACCCCCAAAACCCGAAACTGAACCCTGAAACCCTGACTCGATATCCCTCGACCCTATGCGGGAGGCTATGCTTCGGTCTACCTGCTGGGACTTTGGGGAAGTGAAGTGCGTTACCACGGCGATGTGCTGAGTCAGTTGCTGCTGACGGCCTTTCGGCTGAAGTGATCAGCGTCAGGGGGTCTATGGCTGTGGGCTTACGGGTTACAGGGTCTAGTAGTCCAGTATCCCATGTAGTATACTGGATTCTAACACCTGCTGTCGGCTTCTAGAAGGTCTAAGGAAAGCCGCCCACTGTACGTGGGCTTGTGGGGTCGTTGGTGTCGGAGAGGCACCGAACGAGGAATTTCTTGCTAACGAGTCCTGTCATCATTCAAAGTCAAGTTTTGGCCACAACCGTAAAACTGAGACCAAGCATCAGGATCTTGCCATTGTTGCTTGTGTTTTCTGACAATGCACGTTCTTGACCTGGTCCTTCTTTAACGCCTATGACTAGCTGCCGCATTATCCGTTGCTCATAGTCTCAGCCCCCTTGTTGTCAGTT